AAATAATTGTTGACATCTGGCATCATAGATAACATAGATCAGATAAGAACTGCCAATCTTCACTTGGGACACCTTCTACAATAATCATTAGATGACTTGACCTAGATTCAAGGGATGCTGAAAGTCATCTTTCCTCTAAAAATGCAAGAGAGAATTTAAACACACACAGAGAGAGAGAGAGAGAGAGAGAGAGAGAGAGACAGACAGACAGACAGACAGACAGACAGAGACAGAGACAGAGACAGACAGAGAGGGAGAGACTAGAAAAGTTGGCATTAGATGCAAGCAAGGACAGGCAATTTGCTTATCTCCCTTTTCTGCAAAACTAAGAAAGTCCTTTGGTAGCTTGTCAGAATGGAAAGTGATTTTTTTTCTCTCTCCAAGCACAAATCCCTCCCAATTCTCTGTAGCAAGATTAAGATGAAAGCGATTGTCACAAGAAATCTAGCAAGTGAACTGTTTCAAATTAGGACCGATATCTACATGTACATTAGGACCGAGACTTTCTGTGTCTCTTTCTCACAGATTTCTCGCACGCTGGAGAGGAAGTCGATTTGATTAAAAAATAAAAAGTCTGCAGCTCTGGTTGATTTGCTTATTTGGTTTATAGTTTATCTGATTTATAGTTCTTTCAAAGAATATTAGTTTGAGAGTTGAAAGAATCTTGCAAAAATAACAGTAGAAAGAAAAGGCAAGCTGGGAATGTATTTATTTGTCTTATTTATTTATTTACTCCATTTGTACAACCACCCATCTCAACAAGCGGGCAGTGAATAAAATTAAAACAATTGCAACAATATAAAAAATTAAAATACATAGCAGCCAAGAATAAATCACCCATCATAATTGCTAAATTAACCCGGAAACCGGTCCCTGCATACGTACATTCAAGAATCCCAAGTCGGGCAGAGACAGGTCTGTAGGATCTTATGAAAGGTTAGCAGGGTGTGGGCCATTCTCTATCAATCAATATTTCTTAGACTTCAACTCCCAGAATTCTTTGGCCAGCCATGCTGGCTGGAAGATATAGATAGGCTACATCCATCCATCCATCCATCCACCTACCTACCTACCACCCACCCACCTACCTACCTACCTACCTACCTACCTACCTTTATATCTATGTTCATATCTACATATCTATCTACATACATAATTGCCTTGTTTTGCAAAATGTCCCTTTTTGGTCAGATATCCTGTTTTCTAGAGTCCCACGCTAAAAAAGCTTATTAAAAAACCCTTCCAAGCATCATTTTTCTACTTAATCCTCCCCCTGCTCCATTACTTTAACATAAATCAAAAAGTTCAACATCATCAATTCCCTGAGTAATCCATCAAAAATGGCCTTTTGAGCCTTCAGCATTTTTGCAAGATAATGAAACTGAACGCCAGATGGTGCTCAGCTCCAGAAACGAGGTGATTAAAGGGATTGCCTTCAACACTTGCTTGCTTCTTTCTTTTCCATAGTTTGAATAGACAGCATTCTATTGTTCACCCAATCGAGATGTGTTGGGTCCCATGTTTCAGACTTGGACATCCTCTGTAGATTTTAGGCAGCTGCAGATTGGCATCCTTTGAGGGCTTTAATTTAGGGAGGGCTGCTGTCTCAGCATTAGATGATTTCATACACAGCTCTTCCTGAGTCTTGTTCTCCATGTGGAATAGAATCAGGTTGGATTAAGTGATTTGCTTCAAATGGACCACAAAAAGCCGAAGAGAAATTCTATCTGTATTCCAGCATCTGGGCAGAAAAAAACTGGAGATTTTCCTCTGAGAGTTATTATTGCAAATTAGAGATTGAACTAGAATAATTCTTCCCTATGTGATAGTTTTCTACTTTCAGGAATTTTTTGAAAAGATTTGAAAAATGGCACTACACCTACAGAATATGTAGACGTAGACTTAATCTTCGGAGCTTTATGGAACATAAATCATTTATTATAAACCCCACTTTACATCACTTGTTGTTTCTGAAATGATTGCATGTTTTGGTCTATAAACAAATTTAACTTTCTGGAGGAAAGGACAAAAACAAAACAGTTAACAGTTAGAAGAAAAAAAAGGAACTATAGATAGAAAGATTCATCACCACCCACAATAGAAGAATAGTTGGTGAAGATCATGGAACCTACTCAGATGGCTAAATTTGATTTGTTTGAATTGCAAACAGACAGTATCTACGTTTATTATTGTCAGGAACTTCTTACAGACTTTTTGTGCGAGACAAAAAAAAAAAAGAACTCGTGGGATTGAGGGTGAAAGTCCAAGCCCCTGTAGGAGACTAACACACTCCTGCTTTAAAAATATGCTTAGAATTTCAGCTCAATAAAAGCGAAGGAGGATCTCCAGCAAGTTAATCCCAAGTTTATTTCAATTCGAGGAGCAATGACACAGTTGATGGTTTACATATAAGATGAGGCCCGTCTTGTCTATTCACTACACACTGGATGAAAATATGCAGCCTTGGAAAGATCTCTACCAACGTAAGATAATTGCGTGCTAGATGACTTTATCCCATTAAGTATTATGCAGTGCTACAGTAAATCAGTTGCTCTTTGGGGGAAAGGTAGCTGATAGCTCCTGAGCTAATCCCCAAAGTGCTTTGTATGAGATCAATTCAAACATCTGCCAAGGATGATCTGTGCCTTTCCAGTACAAACCTTGGAAGAAGTGGAAAGGGGATGATCTAGAAGGGGGGGGGAGGAGACAAAAGACGCTTACATAGCAAGAAAAGAGATAGAATCATAGGGCTGGAATTTTGAGGTTTCAAATGGTTGTCCAGTCTATTTTTGAAATAGACTGGAGCCCCCACAACTCCAGAAGGCAAGCTATACCATTGAATGTTCTGTTTTGTCAGAAACTTTTCCTTGTTTCTAGACTGGACCTCTCGTTAACAAGCTTTCCACTTATTATTTCTCGTCCTGCCCTCAGGGGTCTTGGGTGAAGTCAATTCTCTCTTTTCTGTGATAGCTCCTCAAGTAGCGGAAGACTTCATATCTCCCTTAATCCTTCTTTTTAATAGGCAAACTTCTGCCTCCTGATCTATTATCCCCTAGGGAATCAGGTTCTTTCCCCATTCCTATTTTAAGGTATCACAAGACTCTCTAATTCTACTGCAGCAACTGACACAGTTTCCTATTAACACCTGATTTTTGGGTCCCACTAGCATAACTTTTCACTCTTTCAACTCTTTTCTTTTTTTTCCCTAACCAGGTTCATCTGTCACTAAGCTACGTATATGATTCCCTAAAGCGGTCATTGACAGACCACGGATGGTTGAGACCACAATCTCACACATACTGGTTGGAGGGACAATGCAGCCCCCCCAAAAAAAGAATAATAATATTGAAATGAAGCTTAATGAATGTCATGAATAATTAATGAATGAATTTCATGAATCATCCATTGGGTTTTCTGTTTTAACATGCCTCCTGAATCCGGAAACAGAACAACGGGACTTATTTCAACGAGGGAGAGCCCTTGACTGGTTTGGGGGGGGGGAATGCATTTAACCCAGTTCATGGAAAACCTGCCTGATGGATTAGCCCAAAAATGCTATGCTTGGTTAGAAGTAACCAGGGTTACTTCTAAGATGGTAGAGGACAGGAAGACCTGGAGGAACGTTGTCCATGGGGTCGCGATGGGTCGGACACAACTTCGCAGTTAACAACAACAACAAACCAGGGTTAACTGGTTTGGTATATTATGATGGCCAGGACTACCATTCTGAGCATGGCCGTCATCTCGGGTGTCCAATCCACAGGGCAGCTGGGCATTTCCCATCAGATCCAGGTGGATCTTCCTGGCCCTCCGGGAGTAACAGTCGCTGCACACACACAAACACACACACACACAAACACACACACACACACACACACAGATTCGCCCGTGGCCCTAAACCCGAGCCCACCCATGCTCGGGTTGAGTTTTGACGCGCGCAAGAGCCAGGCAAACTGGCGGCCATCCAGCTGCTCTCCAGCCTTTGGACAGCCCGTCTCTCGCCCGGGAAAAGGGGAAGCGATGCGAGCAAGGGTGCCGCCCGCCCCGCCCGCTTCCTTTGTTCCTCCAGCCTCGGCAAGCCAGCGCGGGGCTTGGTTGCCTGGGGCGCGGCCGAGGCTCCTCCCGTTGGCCCGCCGCTCCATCGCGGCTGGCCGTCCCAGGGGCATCTTGCCCGGCTGCCAGCTCGGCGGAGAGGAGCCTCCGTGCGCCCTCGCCGCCGCCTGCTCTCCGCCGCTCTGCTCCGCCACCGAGGCGCACGCTGGGCAAGAAGCCCGGGCGGGGAGGCCGGCCCCTTGCTGGACGCGCTCCGGGAAGGGGCGGAGGAGGTGGACGAGGGCGGGCTTGCTTCCCCCTCCGCCTCTCCTCTCCGTGCCGCCGCTCCCGGATCGAGGCGCTGGAGGGCGACTCCCCGAGAGGAGGCAACGGGCTGGGCTAGGGTGTAGCCCCGCCTGGGGCGGGACGGGAGGCTTCCCGCTCTCCCCGATCGCTCTCCTGGAGCTAGTCCCCCCCGCCCTCCTCGCCCAGGCTCGGATCTCCAACGGGCGCCCCCGGGACTCCCTCCCCAAGCCGTCGTTTTGAAAGGAGCGAAAGCCTTTGGTCCCACGCGCGCCTCCCCGGAGCTGGCGACGGGGGCGCGGAGAGGCGAGCGCTTGCCACAAACGCACTGGAGCCTTCCAAGGGCAGGGTGAGCCATTGTCTCGCTCCAAAAGTGGGGAGGGGGGGAGAGGAGGGGCTCGACTGCACGAGGAGATCTGGAGGGTGGGCGCGCGCGTTTCCCCTTCCCCTGCTTCCCCCCCCCCCCCCGCCCGTGCGTGTGCTGGATAGCCTGCAGCGGTTCCGCTCAATTGGCTTGCGGTCCTCTCCCGTGGAAAGATCTGGGGGGAGTCTGCTGGACTCAACATGCCTCCGGCGCTCCTGCGGCGAAAGCCGTCTGGTCGACCCGAGGCAGTCCGCAGCAGGGAGGGGTGGGGGTGAGGGGGGAACTTCGGGATCCTGGAGAGCCCGTTGCACGTATGTATGCAGAGGTGGATGGAGGGGGAGGGGAGGGGAGGGGGGGGGAGAAAGTCTTTCCACTCTCTTTCTTCTCCATGCCCGGCGAGGAAGACAATGCAGGAACCAACCCGGATTTTCACTTACTCGGTTTCACTTTCTTGAGAGGGAAAGTAAGGGGCTGAAGTTGAAGAGGCAGGAACCGGGGGTGGGATGCGGCCGCTCTTTGAACAATGGAGCAGGTACCTTCCAGTCTAGTTTTCCTCCCGTGCCTCTCCGTCCGTAAAATGGGCGCTTAGTTTCCGAAGCTGTGCATCTTCTGGGTGTGTATGGCTTCGGGTCTGCAAAAAAAAAAAATCAGCTTGAAGTTTCTGTGGCTGTCCTTTTCTCCTGGCGTGGAGTTTCATGGAAGAGGAAAGCTCTAGCCACTTGCTTGGTTTGAGGTTTGAGTGTCAGCAGAAGAAAGATTGGGGAAATATTTACATGTAAATAATCCCCTGTCTGGTATTTGGATTCGGTAAAACAAGAAACCAGAAGGCAAAAAGAAATAACTTGACCCCGAAACTTATGGGGTTTTGTTTTGGGGCGGTGGGCTGGAGGTTATTGTTTGTGAGTGCTGACTTTCTGGCCAAATCCAAGGCAGTCAATCAAGATTCAGAACACCAAACCTTGGGATCAAATTAGTGCTGTGTAATCATTTTTAAAGCTGACTGGAAGCGGGCGTTTAGTCTGCAAGGGTAGACACTTTTGTAGAAATGGCTAGACCAACAAAAGATTTCAAGAAAAGAGATGAGCGCGCTTGTGAGGGTGGGCAAATCTAGGCTGAGTTTCTTGCTGTTCCTAATCTCAACTCGGTTTGGACCCATTTCCTGGTCATTTTAAAAATTTGGAGAGCAGACAGCTGAATGGATTTTCTATCCATTCTTTCCAATGGTTGTATTGCCCTCTTCCCGAATGCTTTCTTTTAAAATATGCATTGTGTGGCACTTTTCATTAATATTATTCGACTTTTTTTTTTAAAGGGAGTGAATATGAGCGCGTGGCTTAATTCTCGTTTGCCTGTGGATTTGGTGTGTGCAAATTGGATAAATTTATGCAAATGCTTTTTAAAAAAAAAATACAAAAGATTTACCTTGAGGCAAGCCAGAGATCCATCTCAACTCAGTGTTCCCAGTCTGATTGCAGGGTATTCTCCTGAGTTTCAAATCAAAGTCCTTTTGGTTAGCCATATCTGGGCCTACCTGAATCTTTCTGTCTGCAAAGCAAGGGTACTTCTCCAAGATGTGATGCTTCCCTTTCCAGGTTTCTGAAGATGAGAAAGCTGCATATGTTTCTTACTAAAAGTAGAATCTTTCTGGGGAAAAAAAATCCTTTTGTTGAAGTAGCTGGATTTGATGTCACTGGGCTGGAGATGTTTATAACGAATTTCCAAAATGTGGCTAGTAAATCAAGTGGGTGTACTTTCACCATGTTATGTACCATCAGTTAATATCTGCTATACAAACAAAAACAAAGTATTAAACTCTTTCTTCTCTTCCCTTTTCTCTCTCTCCCCCCCCCCCTTAGTTCTTCCACTTTTCTCTGCTTCTGGGAAGTGCTGTCCAAATTAGAACCGGTGGCAGTTATTTCAGTCTCTGTAAGTAACGTGCCATGGTTTAATAGTTTATGTGGTTTGGAATAGAGTGGGCCAGATTCCCAGGAGGATTCTCAAGGAGTAAGAGACGGCTCATTTCAGATCCTTTGTGTGAGTGAAAGAGGGTGAAGACAGGGCCTCCCCCAACAGTTCCGAGTATAAGCTTGATGTCTATCAGGCGTGTCCAACCTGCATATGCCGCAAGTTGCCCTGGAGTCGTAATGCTACTAGATCGTAAAGTTTTAACATTATTACGTGGTTTATATACATTATAAATTATGTATATACATTTATATACATTAACTTTGAAGTTAGCCAGGTCCCATTTCTATAGTTGTCTTATTTATTTATTTATAACCCATTTTATTATGATTACAAATAACTGCCCTTTCTCCTATTTTCCCGACAACTGAAAGGGAGTGACTGGGTCAAGGTCATCTAGCTGGCTTTCATGCCTAAGGCAGGACTAGAATTCACAAGTCTCTTGTTTTCTAGCCTGGCGCCTTAACCACTAGACCAAAATATTAAAAAGTGAAAGGTTTAAAAATTGGCAGTTTGGTGGAAGGGCACCATACTGATTGAAAGTTCTACTTACTATTTAACATTTGTCAAGGCATCTCTTGTCTTGGAGCTCTCCAAGTCCTGAACAGCCTATACCAGGGATAGACAACCTTGGGTCTTTTATGACTCATGGTTCAACTCCCAGAATTCCTGGCTGGCTCAGGAATTCTGGGAGTTGAAGTCCACAAGTCATAAAAGAGCCAAGGTTGCCTACCCCTGGCCTATACTTACTCATGTTTTCTTGACCTTCCTGTACCAGCCAGTTCCCTACATCTGATGCCCTACTTTTTTTCAGTTGTTTTCTACTACAGGAACTAACTAGCAAGGTTCTCTAGGGACCTGTGAGTCTTAGACGTAAAAAATGGAATGGAGAAACTGCTCTTTTCTTCCAAATGTATAAACCGTAGTCACCAATGTACTAAGCTGGTTTGAGTGTTTCTTACACTGACATTTCAATATGCAGGTTGCAAATGAACTGTAACATATGGATAGATATTGTCTGTGTAAATAATTGACTTTGCTTGTCAGAAAGTTGCAAAAGGGGCGCTGTCATAAATAAGAGTCAGTTGACAAGCATCTGGATTTTGATCACTTGATCGTGGGGATGCTGCAAAGGTCATGTGAAAAATGGTCATAAGTCACTTTTTTCAGTGCCGTTGTAACTTTGAAGTCACTAAATGAACTGTTGTAAATCGAGGACTACCTGTACTTACAACCTGGTTCCAAATTTCCAACCGCCAGGCATGTGATCGCATTTCCAGCGATCAGGAACTGGCCCCCATTTAGGCTGTTTGCAGCATGCGACCGTGATTTACAACTTTGCTGCTGAAAATTGACATTTACTTCTGACTTTTCACAAAACCATTCCGTAGTGAACAATCCGTTCGCTTAACAAACCCCACCTCGTTCACTTAATGACCACTGCACAAAAGATGGTAAAATCGGCCTCATCCTGTGGGTAACCCGCTATACGACTGTCATGACTTGCAATCGTAATGGGCAAGCTTCATTTACAGTTGTAAGACAAGCACTCTCTGTACTTTGCTAGCTCCATCATGGTTAGTCTTTCTCATTAAATGAGAGATGGGAGATTTCTCATTGGCAACTTTAGAAGCAAGGCAATGGCAATAGGCCAGGGGTCTCCAACCTTGGCAACTTTGTGGACTTCAATTCCCAGAATTCCTCAGCCAGCATGGAATTCTGGGAGTTGAAGTTGCCAAGGTTGGATTCCCCTGCAATAAGCAAGAGAGGAGACCACCGGTTTCAACTTTACAACAGTAACCATGCTGCCTTATCCAATTTTAATAATAATAATAATAATAAAGTTGGAAGGGGCCTTGGAGGTCATCTAGTCCAACCCCCTGCTCAGGCAGGAAACCCTACACCATTTTGGACAAATAGCTGTCCAGTCTCTTCTTAAAAACTTCCAGTGTTGGAGCATTCACTGCTTCTGGAGGCAGGTTGTTCCACTGGTTAATTGTTCTAACTGTCAGGAAATTTCTCCTTAGTTCTAGGTTGCTTCTCTCCTTGATCAGCTTCCATCCATTGCTTCTTGTCCTGCCTTCAGAGGCCTTGGAGAATAGCCGGAAATGGATGTGGATGTTCATTCAACAAATGAGTTTGTTGTTGGTCTTTTCCATCCTTCAGTTCTCTTTTTAAAATCTCTCCTCTAAAATCACTCTCTTAACCCAACAGCTAGGACAGCTAACATGAACCATAGATATGTCTGTTCAAATGCCCCAATTCATCCCTTCTTATTTTTAATTTCTTTCCTCTTTTCCCTGGTTGCTAATCTTTTTTCTCCTGTTGCTTCTCCTTCAATTGAAATAAATTCAGACGCCCTTAGTAGTTATTGGATGGCACCAACGACATCGTCAAGGATGTGGTGCCTCATTCTCTGTGCAAAAGCGAAGTTCTGGGCTTGTGCTCAAAATCTTTTTCCCCTTGTACATTTTGTTTTAATTTAGTTCCCTCTGAAGTTGTAATTCACGTTTGGCCTCTCCCCAAAGAGTGACCTGGTTTTGCCTCCTCTGCAGCAAAAAACTCCTGCTAAAAATATAGCAGATTTGTTATTTGCAAAACAACAACAAAAAATGAAGTTGGTTATTGTAATCTTACAGTTTTTTCCTGAAAATATGTCTGCGAGCCAACAAGATACCATTTACAATTTAGGCACCAGACACTATGTCATCTCACACGTTCCTCTCCTCGCCAACAAAATTTAAAATGGCCTGGAATTTTGCAATATTGATTTGCAACAATCTTGTTCGGATCTCATCAGGGAAGCTGGAGCTCTTACAAGGTGTTTGATTCTCACTTTAATTCAGTGAGACGTTCTCAAGAGATTTGGGGCTGGTTTCTTTCTTTCTCTTTCTTTTTCTTTCTTTCTTTCTTTCTTTCTTTCTTTCTCTCTCTCTCTCTCTCTCTCTCTCTCCTTCCTTCCTTCCTTCCTTCCTTCCTTCCTTCCTTCCTTCCTTCCTGCTTCTGCCTTTTTACACTAAGAATTTTATTTGGAGCAGTGCTCCCTGTCAACTTTGCAAATAGAAAGCAAGATTGAATTCCCCAAATCTTTCATGTGTCCTGTTGCACTGGATTTACACTTCTCCAGTGTCATGGTAATTGTATGGATCACATCTAGGGAAGCTATATGTGATGAGATCTTTTCTGAAGGAATTATTTTCCATTATGCCTTTTGTTAACGTTAAGAAAAACTCTGCACTATGTTTGTGAACTGAATATTTAAGGTAACGGAAATCCCATTCTGCCCTTGTTAATTGTATATGTCTTCTTTGTAAGAAAGTCTGTCATTGGTACCTGTATGTAGAAAGGGTGATTGGAGAAAAGGTATGCTAAGAAATCAAAGAGCTGGGGTAGATACGATGTAGAGAGGAAAGGAGAGGATGTTTGTTCAATAGCACTTAAACTTATATGCCGCTTCGCAGGGCTGTACAGCCCTCTCTAAGCAGTTTACAGAGTTAGCACATTGTCCCCCAATAATCAGGCTCCTCATTTTACCGACTTCAGAAGGATGAAAGGCTGAGTCCACCTTGAGCTGGTGAGAATCGAACTGCTGGCAGTCAGCAGAATTAGCCTGCAATTAGCCATGATGGCAGTTATTTGGGCTGTGATAAGATTTCTGAAATGTAATTCAGATATAAAAAGATGTCGAGATTCTAGAAGGAGTGCAGAAAAGATCATCTAAGAGGGCTAGGAAGAACATTTATAGGAATAGGGTATGTCTAGTTTAATAAAAAAGAAGGACAGGGCAGCAGTGTTCCAATTATCTCAGGGGTTGCCTCAAAGAAGAGGGGGTCATCTTATTTTTAAAAGCATCGGAAAGCAGAACAAGAAGCAATGGATGGAAATCAGTCAAGGAGAAAACCATCTTAGAACCAAGGAGTGATTCCCCAACTGTGAGATGCAGTATGATGCTGTTTCAGGACTAGCTAGGTGTTATTTGTCTCCTAGTCAACCTGTATTCAATGCAAGCCTCCAGATTGAGTAGGTGGGAAGTGAGTTGAAACCAAAGCGCACTGCTGTTCCTAAAACAGCATCAGTCCCCCCCCCCAAGCATTAGCTTTCATACTTCTCCAATAATGCTTTTGCAGCCCACTTCCAAACTGTTTCTCTCTCTGCCTAGATTAAAAACCCTTACAGCAGTGGTTCTCAACCTTTTTAATGCCACAACCCCCAACCGGTCGTAAGTCGAGGACTACTCAACTGGTGCAGCACCGTTTGCAGAAGGGGACTTTTGGCGGGCTCAGCAGGGCAGAGACAGCCTGGACAATTCCTATTGGCTTTTGAAAGCCAATAGAATTAGACTCTATTCAAGAGAGTCTATTCTATTGGCTTTCAAAAGCCAATAGAATAAAAGGGAGGAGCACAGCTGAGGAAAAGGGGGAAAAATGGCGGACTGCGTTGCTTGGCGACCCCCGTGAAATGGTCGTTCGACCCCAAATGGGGTCCCGACCCACAGGTTGAGAACCACTGCCTTACAGGATGGGAGATAAAGAGTTGAGGGACACAGAAAGGAGATGCATGGAAAAGCCCTGGTGTCTGAATCTTCTCAGAAATGTTCAAATGTTGTTTTGCAGCTATGTTGTAGCAGCTAAGACGTCGAGATAGCAGCGTTTTTCAACTTTAGCAACTGGTGAGATATGTGGACTGATCCAAGGTCACCCAGCTGGTTTCATGCCTAAGGTAGGACTAGGTTTCACAGTCTCCCAGTTTTTAGCCCAAGGTTTTTCAACCTTGGGCAACTTTCGGATAGGTGGACTTCAATTCCCAGAATTCCCCAGCCAGCAGGGGAATTAAAGTGTGGAAGTTGAAGTCCACACTTGAACTGTCCATGCTTGCTGGCAGGGGAATTCTGGGAGTTGATGTCCACCTATCTGAAAGTTGTCAACGTTGACAAACATTGGGCTAGAAACTGGGAGACCATGAGTTCTAGGCCTATCTCAGGTACAAAAGCACTAGGACAGTGAAGGCAAACCTTTTAGAGACTGAGTGCCCAAACTGCAACCCAAAACCCACTTATGTATCGCCAGGTGGGTGTGGCCCACTCGGCAGGTGCAGCTACAGTGGGCTTGGCAGACTGGGTGAGCGTGGCCACTGGATGGGTGTGGCTGCAGTAGTCATGGCAAATTGGGTGGGCATGGCCAGGGTGGGCGTGGCCACCTTGATGTTGCTTATGGAGAGGGACATCTGTGGGAGCTGGGCAGGGTTGGGGGGGGATCCAGGGGGTCTCTGGCAGGTGGGATGGTGGGCTTGCCAATGGCGGCTACAAGCTGGCTGGCCTTAGGCTAGTGATGGCAAACTTTTAGAGACCACGTGTGCTGGGGCGAGGGTGCGTGCCCACAGAGAGGGCTCCACGTGCCGCTTTGGCACACGTGCCTTAGGTTCGCCACCACTGCACTAGGATGACCTTGAATCAGTCCCTCTCTCTCTCTCTCTCAGCCCTAGGAAATGGCGAAGCATTTCCAAAATCTTACTAAGAAACCTGCAGGACCTTTTCCAGGCAATCGCCAGGAATCAGCAATGATTCCTAAAAATAAATGGAAAGAAGTAGCTAATTACCTAGCAGGGCAAATGAAATTGAACTTTTACTTGGGCAGCTAATGATTTAGATCCTCCAAGAACATTATCCCCTGCGTGCTAAAAGTACAATAATTATTTCATGGCAGGTGTGTGCTGCCTGGTGTGTACATGCTCATGGCTTTCTGGAGAAGCATTTGCCGTCAGAGTGGTGCGACCCGGCTGAATTTCACCCTTGGGTCAACCTCAAAACTGACATACCTTTGTTTCAGGCATATACTTTGCCACTAAGCTCTCATTACACGGAGAAGGCACTAGATTGGGAAAGGCTGATGTAGCAGGTTGAAATACTCAGGCTTGAATGTCCCAAAGCTGCTTTTCCAAAAGGCAATTGGACATTCTTGGGGGGGGGGGGTTTCCCCTTGAAAATGTTTCACTTCTCATCCAAGAAGCATCTTCAGTTCAAGGGGGAAAAAATTAAGAAAGTCCAATTGCCTTTAGAAAAAGCACCTTTGGGACAACCGTGATCTGGATAATTGACATTCATGCTGGAATGGTTTAATCTTACCATGAACAATAATAATGAATGTTACAGGATGGTTCGTCCATCATAAAGTTCCTTCATAGCATTCCTTCTTGGCCAGCCTTAACAGATGTCTATCCAGCTGTAAGACAAAAGAGGGGAGAGATGGGGGAAAGAAATAGGTATCATTTAAATAAACATAATCTTCATTTTTACTTCCAGACTAAATTAGCTCCCGTCCACTGAGAAAGGAAGAATAAACCTGTTTATTTATTGCTTTTGGATGCCATATAGAAACCAAGCCTTGAGTCCTCAAGACATCTGGGGTCTTGCTAATGCACATGTTGCTCTAATTGCTATCGATCTATTTCTTTCAAAAAAACAAAATCCCTTTCCCGTCTTTTTTTTTCTTTCTTTTTTTTTTAGATGAAAAGAATTTCCTGCCTTGCAGAAAAGACAAACTTCAGTGCGGGAATCGCATCTGCTTGATGAATTGGCTTCTTTGTGGCTACCAGAAGGACTGTGGCACAGAATACGTCTCCATCAGAGTGACATGTTCAGGTAAAGGACCCATGCATCAAGCATGTTTCATACATAGCCATTCCGCTGAGATTTTTGCTACTTAGCACAGGATGGAGTTGTGTTGGGGTATGATTAAAACGAAGTCAACCTTTAGTGAGCTGTTTCTTGAATATTTTGTTGAGAAGAACATTAAGAAGAAGCAGGGCCTGTTTCCAGAACACTGCAGAGGGGTCATATTTGTATTCCATATCAAAAGTCATCTGCATAAGGAAAACTGGGCACTTTAGGGAGGTCTCAGAATGTGCTAGCTCCCTGCAAGCAAGGATATTAGATAAAAAGACCAATCGGACCTCATCAGTAGCAAGACATCTGAATTAAGCTACATCTGGTGGGTTTTCAAACTATTAAGAGTATAAAAAATGCATAAAGAACAGTGTCTTCACTGGAAGATATGTCGAGGTTAAACAGTTGGGAGTACTTTTGCAAATGAGGCATATTAAGAGTATGCTCAAGGTTACTTAATGCAAATTAATTACCTTTTAATGGTATTTAATTATTCCATCTTACCTTGCAGTTAAGGGTAGTGGAATTTTAAATGAGGGCTCATTGGTCAAGGGAAATAATATGTTAGCAACTGTGAAGTTACAAATGTGGTATGTCGTGTCTTCTGTACTTAGTGATGTAGAGAACAGAATTGTGACCCTGGGTAAAAGCATTTTTCCTCTATAAAGTGCATAGTCATAAAGCAGCATGGAAGGCAGAGTAGCAACATAGTCCATTTGAATGTCGGCCACCTAAGATTTGACTCGTTGAGTGTTGAGATAGACTTCCTTGAGGAGAAACACAAGTTTGACCATCTTCATTGCAGGTTGCCAGTTGATGTTGTTGATTTGAAAAAAAGCAATTGCAACCTAAGAATTTTGTGACACCTTAAACTATCCTTCCCCACTTTGAATTCCTTCCACGTAGATGAACTTCAATTCCCAGAATATCTAGGAAGTAGGTAAGTCCAGGAAATATCTAGGGAATTCTGTAGGTTGATCCACTTATCTGGAGGATTCCAAGCTGGGAAATATTGTCTTAAAGACTTAGCAACTTTAAACTGAGCATCCATGTAGCCAAGTCACGTTCATCACATATGTTTCCTTCAAGTACATGGATACGTATGTACAAAGTTATAAGGACAAAGAAATTGTGAAGGGTCCAAAACTGTAAACAATTTAAATCTCTAACAATGTCTTTAAATCTCAGATTATCCAAAATGAAGATCACAGACTTGCACAGAAGCAATAATGGATGACGGTGCATGCTGTTTCTTGCAAATGAGCATTAATCATTCTGGAGACAGTGTCCATTCCTAACCACAGTGTTAATACACCCCCAAAAGAAATAATCTGAGTTGCCACAAAAGCATCGATGCAACTGTGGGAAATGTAAATGCTGGGTGAAGGTAATTTAGCCAAACCTCCAGAAGTACTTTTTAATGCATAGTATGTATTAATAACTTGGATCTTGGTTGTTTCCACCTCCTACCAGCTTATGAAAAATGGTTGGTGAATGCTGTATCAGTGTAAATCTTAGGAAAAGTATCTTAGGTAAAAGATAGAATTCTTCCTCTGTACGCCTTTTTTTTGACAGACTGCATGTCATATTTATGGTTTAGATTCAGTTCTTCCTTGATACTTTTTTTTTTAAATGCATTTATCCATTTATATCCTGACTGTCTTCTCAAACTGAACAATGAAGTAGCACGGAAGCCATCACTTCATCACCTTCAGCTCGAGGAGAAATAGGATCATAGCATTATACAAATGAAAAGGACAATTTAGGTCAAAACTAGCCCATAACACACTTCAGGAAATCCAAATTAATGCCTCTTCAGCTAGTATCTGTTCAGCCTCTACTTGAGCATAGCTGCAGTAGTAAAAGATAATTGGTTAGAATGTCACTCTACTGTTACTATTGAGAAACTAGAGAAAGGAAGATAATTGATTGTACTGTCAATCTGCTATTACTATTAAAATTCTGCCAGACTCAGCCTTCTGAGCACTTATTCTGTGTCTTGCATTATGAGACCACAAAGACAGAGTCTCAATCTTTTTCTAAATGACAACTCCTCTAGCATTTGAATGTAATAATAATAATAATAGTAAAGTTGGAAGGGACCTTGGAGGTCATCTAGTCCAACCCCCTGCTCGGGCAGGAAACCCTACACCATTTCGGACAAATGGCTGTCCAGTCTCTTCTTAAAAACTTCCAGTGTTGGAGCATTCACCGCTTCTGGAGGCAGGTTGTTCCACTGGTTAATTGTTCTCACTGTCAGGAAGTTTCTCCGTAGTTCTAGGTTGCTTCTCTCCTTGATCAGTTTCCACCCGTTGCTTCTTGTCCTGCCTTCAGGTGCTTTGGAAAATGTCTGACAGTTGTGTCTGACTTTTGGTGATTTTATGGGCCAAATCTTTCCACATCTTCCAGGTTAGCCCTACTTCTTTGAGCTTTTCTATGCTCTGGATGGTCTCAGCTTTGATGGTTGTCCAGCCATCATATTCTTCGACGGCCTTGGTTTCCTTTTAATGCTAACTCTTCCAAACATAATTGCTTTCTCCATTGAATTCTCCTGCATGACACGGTCAAAGTAAATGAGACCCAGTTTCATAATTTTGCCTTCTACTTATATGTTTGGTGTTAATCGCTCCAGTACTTACTCGTGGGTCACCTTTGCTGTCCAAAGAAGGTGCAGGAGCTTTCTCCAGCACCACAACCCAAATAAGCTGATTTTCTTCCTGTCTTGCTTTTTTTTAAGGTCCAACAATCCCCTCTTCCTTTCTTTTCAAGGCTTTCTCTTTGATATCCAGTTGTTTTCCCCAGAACTTAATTCCTTGTCCTTCAATTGTTTTCAATGCTCTTTCTTGAACTGGGTTCAGTTTCTCTCAATAGTTGCCAAAATTTAGTACCGGAGACTAGTCAAGGTGAATTGATTAATTTAGAATTTGGAAGCTCTCCTTCTGTTGATGCAGCTTAAAATCACATTTGCTTTTTTTTTTCTCTTCTTCTTCTTCTTTTGGCAGTCATTTCTCATTGCTGACTCTACAATTCCAGGATCCTTTTCATGTCTAGTAATTACTGAATGAGGCATTCCTCATCCTCTCCTCGATCTTTAGATTTCTTTTTCTTAAGTGGTGAATTTGGGAAAGTACTCGGCATTACACATGCAGGCACATAAGTATGTATAAATAATGTGATAGCAGAGAGTTTACAAGCGAGCTTTATCCAAATAGTGTGGTTGCCAAGGGAGTTTTGTCATCCCTGCTAAAAGCGCTGCATAATGAGAAGTGACTTCCAGCCAAACACTCAATAATGAGAAACAGCTTCAGGCCAAATAACATGCATTTATAAATGTTGCTTATAAAGAAAGAGGAAGGAAAAGCCTTTGTAAGTCTTCAACCATTGCAATGCTTAAGCGTACTCTCAGAAACTATTAATGTAGTTGCACAATAGCTAAGAGAAACCCAATTGTAGGGAAACATTTCAGGAACTGGCTTTTTATCCTTCACTTTTTAAAAAGGAAGTGTAAGAAATTAGAGAGGGCTTTTCCTGGTCCATGTTTACTAAAGGCCATTGTTTGGTAAGGATGCATTATTTGGGTGAGAAAGCCTGTTTTTCAGAAATTGCTCGGCGTGTTTGCTGGGGGTTTCCATATGGATGCACAATCATCTTTGCTCCTTGTAGCTTTGGAGGTCAGCTTAATCCAGGATGACATTTCCAAGACCGTGCTCCTTCTGTGCAAAGTACCTTCCTTGTTGGTGAGCTTGAGAGTCTTAATCTGCTCTCATGCGGTTTCAAATGATTTTGCAAAGGAAGTGTTGGGTCATGGCAGTGACCTAAACGGAAACACCATTACCTAAAAGCCATTTGTTTCAGAAGACCAGCTAATTAGGACCACTAATGAGGAAAGTCTATCATGCTTTGACTACATTGAATGAAATTCTAAGTCTTGTGTGATTGACTAGTGTTGGGTACTAAACCCTTCCCTGGATAATCATGGACATGATGTGGGCTGCCAATCTTATCTTCATCTTCTGCAGAGCAATTGGCATTTGCAGGCTTAAACCAATTTCAATCGCCTGCACTATAAAAGAGGCTTCGCGACCTTTTACCTTGAACTCTTTCATTTTGAAACAGAACATTTTATACTCAGATAATGCTAAATTTGATAAGGCAGGAGTTCCTTTCTTTTCAGAAAGACTGACAGCAGATCAATAGGCACCCAAGTAAAGAAGATGTCTACACTCACAGCATGATTATTTCAATGGTTGAGGTCATCCCGTGTTATCCTTCAGAATGCTTTTCAATATACTGGATCAGTTTACATGCTGTAAAAGAAATTAAACCTTGGACAATGGGCATACATGCAAGCAAAGGTGGCTGAAGTCACTGGCTCTTTAAATTTCCTAAGGATGTTTACAGGCGTCCCTTGACTTATAGGTATCTTGGTCTATATTCCAAGCAAATGACTCATTGGGATCCCCATATCAAAACAACTTATCTTATGTGCGGCCAGAACTTGAAAATAACATTTAATGCAGCACAGTATTTAAACAAAATGGTTCAGCTGAGATCTGCATATGTGGGACTGATTGGGGTAGGTTGCAAGGGTGACTCCAAGATATAATTTTATCTTATTTCATCTATATTTTAAATTACTGTACTCTGTTTTAATTTCATTTTAGGCTGTATTTTACTCCAATTTCATTTTAAGTCGCATTTTACTCTAATTCCCTTTTAAACTGTATTTTATCAAATTCCCTTTGAAACTGCTTTTATCAAACTTTAGTAATAATTTGTTGCTGGGACTTTGCACTTTGATATGGCCCAAGGGCTAATCAATAAAGATTTATTATTAGTGACTGTTCAAAGTTAATGATGGGACTGAAAAAAGTGACTTCTGACCATTTTCACATGACCAGCCTAGCTTCCCGCATGGCTATGTGGTCAAAATTTGGATGCTTGGCAACTGGCCTGTCTTTACGACAGTTGCCGCA